AAATTGGCAGAGCCTTAGCATTTTGAAAATTCCGAATTTTGTTATACACTTAAGAAATTGAGACTAAGTAAATTTCGCGTAACAACTTTTCTTTCATAGAATATTTTTCTACAACATACATTTGATTTATTTGATTATTTATTTCCTTTTTTTTATTAATAAATAAAAGTTCTTTACAACAAAAAAGTTTAACGAACAAAAAAAAATCATTGCCAAATTTGATCGTAAGATCCAAAATATTGGAAAACTCTTACCACACCTACCTCGGTTACACGAGGTTTTTTTAAGAAGATTTTCTACCAATCATGGGGGTTCTGGATTGGGATTCGTGTAACTGAGGTAGAGTATTCAAAATATCGCACTTCTAAAAAATCTATGAAAAAGAAAATTTGAGACAATTTTTTTTTTAGATTAATAGACTCCCTTTTTAAAGCTGAATTGAATGGTGGCGAGTTTTTTAAAATCCAATGTGTGGATCACTTAATATTTCAAAAATTTTAACTTTTGAGTATAGATGATTCGCACTGTACCAAATTATAATCATCACCTAAAGAATATAATGGCGCGTCAATAACTCATTTTGGGGTTCTTGAGCACGAAGTACCTTTTTGCTAGGATGGAACCTAATTTATTTTCGAGTGAAGAAAATTCAATGGAAAAAAAGAATGTTTCAGAAGTTGAGAAATGGAGTATTGTAAGAAGAAAAATGAAAATGAAATAGTAAAATAATAGTTTATTCCATTAATCTTAAATTCTTTTTTTTGCTATTAAAGATTGACAAATGGCTGAAGAACAAAATATTCAGAAATAATGAGTCAATTCCAATATTTGAAAGAAATCAAGAAACAGTAGCAACGTTATACAATTTGGTGATGAATAATAAATTACAAGATGAAATGATTGATATTGTTTATAGTAAACAACAGATTCATACAAAGGAATATAACGCAGAAGGTCTTTTTAAAAATGCATTTTTTTTTTTGATTAACGAAGAGATTACTAACAAAATCATTAATATTAATCACATTAACAAAAAAAATCATTAATATGTTGTATTTTCTTTATTTAGCTAAAAGAATTAATGAAATTTTAAATATTTTAAATGTTTCAAAAAATGATTTTTCAAAAAATGGAATAAATTCCTTAAATGGATTGGTAAACTTGGCTAAAATATTAGAATTAGCTGATGCCCAAAAAAGCAGGTAATGATAACAAAAGATTATTACTAGAAATATGTAAAATATTGAATTGACATTTTTATTATGTGATACGCGTTTACACATGCAATCAGTTATTTGTCATCATTAGCAAAATTAAATTTGGACTATTCGAGAATAGAATGTGAAAATAACAGATTAACGCGTTCAATTGATTCAATAAAAGGTCAAATCAATAAAACTATTAAAAGGAATGAAAAAAATGAAAAGTAATAACAATTCTTTTATCCCACAGCAATTATAATTAATACAATGCTAATGTAATGTAATTATCAACAATTAATAACTTTATAATTTTATATAGTTTATTGGACAGGCTGAGAAATGAATGGAATTCAAAAGATCAGTTATCATTAAAAGAATATGAAAAGAATATGGAATTGCTTGAGTTAAAGAAATCAGAATATCAGAATAAACAAATTGAACTCGAGGTAATAAGTTTAATACGGTGGATTCTACTCCTCCAGTAAATATTGTATTGAATTTTTAAATGATGCTATATATTATTATAGAAGGAGTATTTATCTACAGGTGTTGAGGAAGAAAATTTACGGATTAATGAATTAAAACGAAAAGAACAAGAATTAATTATGTTGGAGCAAGAGATTAGGAATAAACGTGAAAAATTAAAAGCCTATCAAGAAATGCCACCTGTATGTATAATTTATATATATGTATTTATTATAATATGTTGTATATGTTTACGAATGTGTGATTTTGTTAATGTATCTATGTTTTTATATTTCTCTCCCCCCTCTCTCTCTCTTTCTGATTAATCGTTGTAGGATCTTACATTAGCTAAATTAGCATTAGAAAAGGCTAAAATTAAATTGGTAAAGATTATTGTGATAATAATTTATAATCATCAGGTTATTATTAATTTTTTTTTGTTCATTTAATTATAGGATACGTTGAAAGAAGAACGCCAAGAATTACTTAACAGGATCGCAGAACATTTTCAATAAAATCTTATAAAATTTTTTATTTATTATTCTCTATATAATAATAACTATTAAAATAAAGAAAAGTAATAATAATAATATAATGATAATCAAATCATATATATATAAATAATACATGTATTTTTTTAAAAAAAATGATTCCCTTAAAAACTAACTAGAAGAATTTGAGACTATGATAAATTCCGAATCGAGAATCATTAGTGAGTGTGGAGTGAATGAATGAATGAATGAAATAAAAGCAAAAAAATCTACATAGAAAACTAATAATATATGAAAATGTATATATAATAAATAATTATAAAATATTAAATATATATGTATATATAATATATATATTTTTTTTTTTTGAGATTTAGTAAATTTAAGGAACCATGTAGTCTAAGAGAAATATTTCTCAAGGAAGGTTTTATTTTCAACTTTCTTTTCTCTATTTTTCTTTTAAAAAAACCAAATATACAAAGATGAATGATGATAAATCTTTTTAAAAAGTCTGTCCAATCCAACATTATAAGATTGAACTAATTCACCGTCAAATTTTGTTGATATTTAACTTGATTATTCAATAGTATCAATGCATCATTATCCTTGTCACCACTATTACTATTATTGTTGTTGATTTGTTCGAGATATGATTTCTTAAACATAAGATTAACTTTCTTATGAATAGCATCGATCAATTTGGCATATTGTTTTAATTTTTCATCATCAATTGTAGGCGCTGCAGTTGTGATTGATGTGGTGGTGGTTTTCGTTACTTCTTCTCTATTCAAATTCAAGCTTGCAATACCATTAATTAAATCACCAACATCATCTTTATTATTGATAACTCTTAAATCCTTAGATATCTTTCTCTTAAAAGAAGATAATCAGAAATTTCATCTGCTCCATTAAGACTATGGACTCTACATTCTCAAATTCCTTCCATGAAAATGAACAAATAATATTGATATAGTTCGTACACTTACTCAGGCAGACATCCATATAGAGGAAATTGACGCATTAAAACCTATATTATACAAATCTCAAACATTTGCTGTTAATTTACAATAGTGAATTAAAAAAATTAAAAGTTTAATTGATCAAAAAATAAGTATTACAATAAATGTGTCAACCGATAAAAAATAAATTTATAATATAATATGTAAAATAAAAATATCAGTACAATGTGCTCTTAAATAATAATAATCATATTATTACAAAATTTTTTTATTAACCCGAAATCAACCCGAACTCGACCCGAAAATCTTGGGTTGGCCTTTAAAACATTCGGGTTGACACTTAACCTGACCCGTTAGGAGCTTTAGATTATCCCTCTTCGATTTAATCGTTTATTATTTAACTGGTTAAGATTTACTAGTTAAAAGAAATTTTTACACGGTTCCAATCTCTACTTTTCTTAACAAATCAACGCTCAAGACACCATCAAGATGCATCTGAACATATTGACAATTTCTTTGCATTTAAACAAAGGATATTCGATTCTAATACTAATAAAAGGTTGTCGCGCAAATTTAATTTACGCGTTGATAAACAAAATGAATCATCAACTACAATATAACCGTAACTATAACAACAACATTAATGACAATAAATTATAATAATGCTGATAATTGGGTTCCATCCTAGCAAAAAGGTACTTCGGGGAAAATGGGATTTTTAAGAAATCAGATGATTTTTGTTTTTCCCCTCGTTTTTTAATCAAAATTTTAATTTTTTAAACATGTTAACTAACCAAGAATATTTTTATGATTTACTTGAACTTGATTTAAAAGAATACGGTGATTATGAAAATATTCAAGAAATTATAATTTAAAGAATTTTTTTAAAAATCCAAAAAGTTGTACTTGTCATATTTTTGAAAGACAAAAGATATTGGATTTATAAAATTTTTTCAAATTATTAATTTAGCTAATAAATAATTAGATTTGTTTTTGAAAGCACAACTTTTAGCAATAGAAATAGAAAACAAAATTTTAAATATTCCTCAGAAAATAAATTATATTCTCTTTGTAAAACAGCATTTTTAATGTTATACAATATAAGTGATCATAAATTTAAAAATATTGTAGAACACTTACAAAATGAAGGAATAAATGAACAAATTCATGGAAACACAGGAAGAGCACATATATATAAAACTAAAATCAATATTGATGAAAATTTAAAATCCATTGTAAGAAATTTTTTAATTCAATATTCTTTAATACATGCGTTACTTTCACCAATGAGACATATGAATGGTTCTGGAGCATTTATTTATCTTCCTACTGATAAAAAATTTATATCTGTGTATAAAGAATTTAAAAAATTTTAATTAGAAAATATTTTAAAAGTTGAATCAGAAAATGATTTAGAAGAAAAAAAAACTATTCCTTATACTTTTAGAAGATTATGGAATGAACTAATGCCTAATTTAAAATTTCAACCTCCTGCAAGTGATTTATGTGATAATTGTGTCCAATTTAAATCAAAATTGCAATTAACAAAAAGAAATATTGATGAATATAATAAAGTTGGAGCTGAATTTAATGAACATAAAAAAAGGCAAACTTGAACATGATCATTATAACAATAATATTGAATTAAGTAAAAATCAATTGCACATATTTGTTATGATTGGGCACAAAATGTCACCATTCCTTACTCACCTTAACAACCAGGAGCATTGTATTTTTTGTCTGGTTATGCAGTTCATTTATTTGGAGTTTGTAAAACTGAAGGAGGAATAAATAAACAATTAAATTTTTAATAGAAGATGAACTTCCTCAAGATACATCTAAAGGAGCAAATATTACTTTAAATTTGGTTTATCAAGCTCTGCAAAGAATGATAAAAAAAAATTTGCATATAACTTGTGATAATTGCTCTACAAAATAAAAAAAATTTATCCCTTCGGTTTTGGGACTTGGCCAATAATATTGGGTTGGTATGAAGAAATTACAATTAATTTTATGATCCCAGGGCATACAAAATTTATGTGTGATGCTTTTTTTGGTCCACATAAACAGAAATAGTAAGTTAATCAAATTAATGAATGACATTAAGAATATTATCAATAATTCTTCAAAAGGAAATGAATCAATACAATATGAAAATGGTTCAGGCTGGAAAAGATATAATTTGGAAAATTATTTGAAAATAAATTTAAAACTTTACCTAATATAAAACAATATCATCATTTTAGATTTAACAACCTGCCTGAAAACAAAGGAAAAGTATTTGTTTCAACAATATCTGGTGAAAAAAAATGTTTTAATCTTTTAAAAAATAATAACTTTTAATCATAATGATCCTATTAATATTATTCCAATTAATATAGATTTAAATTATATTTGTAGGAAAGATTCAAATCAATTGTAAGATTATCATTTCCTTTTTTTGACATTAGAAAATTTTGGGCCAAAGTTCGATAAATCTTTATAAGCTAATTGCACACTTTTCTATTAATTGAATGTTGGCAAAAATTATACGGTACAGATCATCTATTACTATAATCATTAATTGCTTATAGTAACAATTGGTCAACTTCAAAATATTAAAACAAAAAAAAATTATATCATTTTAGAAAATTTAACCGATAAGTTTTATTGTTCATGACTCAAGCTTCAAAACTTATCGGCTGGTTTTTTCTTAAACTGAAAA